TAAAGTTCTTCTCGCGGTCCTTCTGGTAAGCAAACGGTAATAAACAAAACAGTAACGTAAGTTTAAACGTAAGCTTTAACATATGTATAGAAATTACGAAAAAGTAATTTGCTTAATAATAGCAACAGTAACAGTAACAGTGAAAGTGCTTAGTAACAGTGAAATAATATTAAGCAATTTTGTCAGCGTGATAATAAAATTTTGCCAATAGATTTATTAATGAAACATAATTATTAAGATATAAGTCATATCGTGTGACTCCAAGCTAGCGTCACGTATATAGAACCAAATTGCAATCTCCATTTAGGCTGTATTCTAAAACTTGGTGTTTTTTGACAACGTTAAGGAAAGGAATTTGAGAAATTATGTCTTTTTAACATTTAACATTACTATAGTTTGCAGTGGAAAAAGATGAGTTGAAGTCAGGTAGGCCAAGGTATTTTGTACTAAAAAGTTTTAAGAAATCCGCGACTTGACATCATTAAATATGACGCATTAAAAAGTACGAATAATTCCCTCAAAATACACGTGATCATTGCGAAAAATGAATGAGAACTGCAACTATCAAAAGCTCAATATGAGAACCATGATTGACAGCATCATGAGTTGCATTTCTAAGACTATACAAGTGACCTTGGATATGCAGGTACTTCAATATTTATCTTTTAGCTAAGTATGAGACGAGGTCGTCTTGAAACATGGCACAGTCAAGTACATGATAGTCTTTCATTTAAACATGGTTAGTCCTCGAAGCAAACAGTATATCTTTCATTTAAATGTCGATTTTTATCACATCAGACTTTTATCGACGATCCAGGTATACTTTCATAATTCTTTTACAATAATATTCTCACATTTCAGATATTCATTCTGACTGCAGTGACAATGTTATCAAAAATCCAATTGTGACAAAAATCATAAAAGGGAGGCTTTTTGTTTGAAAACCGAATGAATGAGAAAAAAGTCTTTCTTCGGCATTTATGTTTTGCATACATTGTTCGATCATCAATTTTGATCAGTGACATCGCAAAGCTTCTGTGTCAAAGTTCCTCTGTATGCTTTACTTTCAACTATGTTAATTTTCCACTACTGTTAAATCACATTTCTTCTCTTCTATTGAGAACGCGTCGTTGTCAGGCGCTTTTATTTCTTCCATCTCGATCAGAACGTTTTTCGGAGGGTTTGAGAAGTTGCCTGACTCAAAGACCATTTGGTTGATTTTATCTGTTATTTGTGAGTAATCCTTTTCGCCATCTTCTATTTCAATTTCTTTCATGACGACTTTGAATCTATTTTGCAGTCGTGATATCGTTGTATTGTCAAGCATCTGGGCCTGACTCTGGCGGTGACGTGGACTTTGCCTTGGCTCCTCTTCTACAATTTGAAGCAAAGATAGGCCTGAATTTATTACACTGCCAACTACGCATATTATAATCTATTTCAGTGAACTCAACAATGTTAAACTAGGAAAACTCGGGCTTTAATGGAAGGTATTACAGGGAACCTACACAGGACGATTTTGTAACTTATGATTCATTGATAACATTCTAAATATAGAAATTTTTTGCATCGATAAAGTCACAAAAAACAGGACGAAACTTTAGGAAGTTTCACATATACTTTGCTCCATTTATAGGGAAAGTAGGATTGATAGTAGAATATGTAAATCAGCTGCTTGCATTTCATGTTACCAAAGTGAAAATACATCGAAAAGCGAGCTTCAAATGTTTTGCTTTTTGCAAAATACTATCCAAAACAGAAGTCTCCATTCCTATCATAGCATAAAGAATTTATAAGCAGCTACAAACCTATCTTGTTCATCCATTTCTCTTGTCTTGAGGCTTTATAAAACCTGGCTGCAAGCCATAATCTGTCGTAGACAAATCCGAAAATCAACAAACCCAGTGTTGCAAGTCCAACATATTGAAAAAGCCTCGTGTACACTACTGGGTCGTTGAAAAGGGATTTAGGTGAGGAATTGATATGATCATGTGCAGTATGCAGCTGGAATAAGAATTAATGAATTCAAGCAACAATCATATATTAATGAAACACAGCAAAAATGATTCACAATTTGAAATACATATGAAAATTAAGCAGTACACAAAGCGAATATTTATTTTAATTGGCATTGCTAAACACTATCATGTAATACGGTGTTCAATCCCGTATTTGTTTGTTTCATTTTGACTTTCTACCTGAAAAAGTCGATTGTAAGACATAAACTAAACAGTTAATTAAAAGTACCCAAGAGATAGCAACTACTTAGAAAACCTCCAAGCGATTGCGTTATAATCGAAACTGGGCCATTTTGTAGCTATTTGGTAAGACTCTTAAATCGCTTGGACCCCCTGTCAGGCCTTAATGGGAGTACCCCCCCCCCCCCCCTCAAGCTGGTCAGGCATGTGAAACTGGTGATGAGCAAAAACTAGGCTAAGTACTGAAAACGTACCGACATTGGAAGCTGTTCTTCAGCTAGCTTTAACATCAGGTCGAGGTTGTCCCTGTTCTCATCGAAAAATCCACTCAAGAAAGAGGCCCACATAGCATTTGTGTGATTCGAGACGTGGTCATAAGCAAATAATATGCCATAACTTGTGGGCGAATTCTCCAGTACATTTGATCTCGAATAGAAATTGGTTATAGAATTCTCTAAATCTTCTGCATAGTGTTTTAGTATAAGTGAGTCCATCAGTATACCTAAGAAACAATTTTGATTATAATATGACTTTTTCTCTTTGTATCATTTTTATAGGTTACTACGTAAAAGTAGATATGTCTGTCGTCTACGAGACTCAGTTCATTCTACACAATTCAGAAACAATAACAATTTTTGCTTAACATTTGTTGTAAAATAGGGTTTGGCGAAATTACGTTGCAACATTTAGTTAAGAGCTGCATTATGCAAACAATAAAGGACTCATTATTTAAATACGGGATTACCAGGAAAAAGAAAAGAGAGCTTAGAGAAAGTAACTACTCTTCGGTCTAGACAGTCTTGCAAAACAAAGGACCACTCCTGAATTCCAGGAACTACACTCAAAACCTTGACTGAGATCCAGAAAACCTTCTTTGGTTTATTTAGAATATTGGCTTATTGTTTAAAAAAGAACAAACAAATTCATAAAACTACAATATATTGCAGTAAGAATATCTTTTAAAAAAGAATATATGATTTTATGTGAACTTGTTTGCTTTGAAATGCTTGCATTCATCTACTAATAGTAGAATTGGAAGAAGAAAATGATTATGCAAATAAATAACTATATAGAAAATTACCATCAATTTGCCCATTTATCAGAGCATTCTTCAATTCAATATAGGAGGAAAAACCTAAACGAAAAAAACCACTGCATGAATTGATTCATTTCTAATTAGTAGCGGCACAAATGTTAAATAAAGAGTCGGCAACTGCAAAAAAAGCTTTGAAGAGACGCTAACTGAGTTTTTACGCATTCCATATCAAACCTAATATATTGGACCTATTAATTCACCTTTGTTTTCAAGGCAACTACAAGTAGAAGCTTGCTTGAATTTTTCAATGTTATTTCAACTATCTAAATATCCCAAAACCACAAAGAAAATAAGTGAAAGTTTCAACTTTTGTCTTATGATCAAATTTCCTCTAAGTCTAAAAATTATTACGTTTAACTTTGTGTTACCAGTTTGAAAAGACACAGAAATGTGGCAATAAAATTCTATCAAATCCTGGCATTGCATATACTGTGATATACAACATTACCTATGTATTTAAAGCTTTAAAAGCTTGAAGATATCTCTAAACAGCAATTCTAGCCTGGCTTCAACCTAGAACCAGACCACTGAATACTTCTAATGAGTTACCTGTTACTTTGGCTCCTTCCCTCATTGCTATATTCATCTCATAATTTGTCTTATTCAAAACGCCTACCTGTTGAGAGATTCACACGTAGATGAGGAATTTTTAACTGACAAACAACACCAGTCATAAACAAGGAGCGCTGAAATACTGATGTGTTGCTTTTTTTAGCAAATTGGAGTGCCCTTTTAAGTAAAAAGTATTTGCCAGCCATAAAATTAACTTATGATATGGCATAATTGCATATAAAAAATACTTGTGTTTATTTTGCCGTAGTCTTGATTGGCTCTTTCAAATTTCTAAATAATTATTCACCGAAATAACTAGTAGCATGGTCAGGGGCGGATCCAGAGGGGTGCGAAAGGGGCTCGAGCACCCCTCAGATTTGAGGAAAAACTTTTTGGGGATTAAAGCTTATTCTATCGCAATTTTGTTTATAATTATTTGAACCATTTATTATCTCTTTTACCGAGAAGTATGCACATCTCCTGAAATTGTTATATCCGCTTCAATGCCCCGTCTCACAACTGTTCAACATTGTTATTTCAGTCCATGCATTGAAGTGTTATCAAACTCCCCCTGGTTTTACTGTATAGCATTCTACAGACTCGGAAAGCATTGTCTCCTCTTATAACCAGCCACTTGAGGAACCCGTGGCCTGTAAATTATACGATTTTCTGCACCCGTGGAAGTGAATCTAGCCAATCACGGTGCCAGGTCGAGGGGTTCTAAACTTTGGCGCGAGAACCCATGGATTTCAAAATCCAAAACATCAAAGAATACCGACCAAACCAGGGGGAGTTTCTTCGCTTCAATCTACAGTCAAATGTATAAGTGGTTTTATGACCAGGGGGAGTTGAGCTTGAACAGGGGGAGTTGAGGTTGATCAGGGGGAGTTGAATTATGATACAGCACGCGACGAATGCTTAGGTGAAGTGCAAATTTGCAATATGTTTTCGTAGGTCTTTTGACGATCTTTACCTGGTGCTCGATGTTGTAACGGCAGAAATTGTAAACGCTTTGGTTTATATAACAGAACGGTTTCAAGTTTCAACTCCGTGTTTCACGTCTTATTCATAGACCATGAGGTATGATTTATATTCAGAGGATAAAGCTTGCCCGAGCCCTTGTTATTCTTTTGTTAATCATTCAAGAACTACATACAAAACATCTCAAAAACTTGCCCATAGTATTCTTGACCAAAAGGGTTTTTCTTCTTATTCCTGCTTACATTCCTACAAATACTTTTTTCTCTAAAGATTTCAAATTCATAAAAATACTCAAAACGGCAGGCCCATAGCGAAACGTTCAGGGCCTCATTTGTTTGGTTTGGTATCATATGTCAATGCATGCCATGCATGCTGTGTTTGAATTCCTGTGTTCAACTTTTGTCCGACTTTTTTCTATTGTTCTATTGTCTCTAATGACGTGCACTGCACTTCATGTTCAAGGGCTTCATTCCACCAGCCATGATCAAGTTCTAATAAATGGCTGCAAAGAGTCAAAAATTAAACTTTGCTTTGGAAATTTGTGGGCTCGGGCCTTTTGCCACTGCGGGCAATGATATCATATTTGACTACAGTTTCTATACTTTTGTACCCTAAGTGAATATGAGGGGGAGAGCTGCAAATTGCGTTTGGCATAAAAGCTGAAGCCAAAGTTCCAAGTTCTGATCAAAGTGTAACAAAAATTACTATATCAATCGCGGCATCCAGGCTTTTTAGTTTATGGAAGACTTTCATTTCATTATGGCTTATTAGCAGGGGGTACGGAGTTTGTGCATAGCAACACCCTTGGTTACCAAGCTTTACGTTTTAGCACCCCTCAGAATAATTTCTAGATCCGCCCCTGATGGTAGACTATTTAGAAGATTGTTAACGACTTTAATCAAGCAAAAACTGTTGACATTTCAATGTAATCTTGCTGATTTTTGCTAAGGGAACTATAAATAATGTTATCTGAAGTCATATCATTTTATTACTTGATTACCCTTTTGTCTGAGAGGTACAAGTCCTCGTCAATAAAAGACTGAGTCATTCCTGTTGTCAAAGATGCAGTAAATACTCCACACAGAGAAATGCCAACTGTGATCCACACGATGCCAAAAAAACGAGCAACAAGGCTTTTTGGAGTTTTATCGCCATATCTGTTAGATATAGGAAAAAAAGTTGATAAAGAAAATGACGAAAAGGACACAGAAAGGGAGGGGGAGCTTCTATGTAGAATTTAAACGTGTGCAATGTATTGAGAGAACGTAGGACATATGCATATATCTTGGCATTATCTGCAATTCTCTCCCCCTCCTCCCCATCCCCCTTATTTTAAAACATCTTCTTGTGTTGGTTTTCTGCTCATTTGAAGCTAGAAAATGGTCAAACACAGTAAATCTTTATTGATCAGGAGAGACCAAGAAACCTCCCTCACTTCATTACTGGTATGCATTTTAAAACACTGTTCACAGTGCTTTGTGCGTCGAGAATTAAATTGAAGCAATGTTTGACGAAGCAGGTAAAGCGATAAAAACAAAGTAGCTCTTGAAATTTCAATGAAAATGCAAATCTTTGTGTGCAGAAAGAACTGCAGGCAAATAACTTGATTTTAAATGCAGTATAAGCGCAGCTTAATCAGACCAAGCTTGTGAGAGAGTTTAAAAATGCAGAAACAAAGCAATACCTTCTTGTAACTTTGCTATAATCTAGAAACAAAACATATATTCAACAAGTTTCTTAGTTACCCGACAGTTGTCATGCTTACGAAAGCCCACCACATGCCTTCAATGATACCATCTTTGAACTTCCGAGGAAAATCTTGCTGATTTCTTGAAGAGTCCTGAAAATATCAACTGATTTATTGCCTTTGGCTCTTCCTGTCTTCGCGCACAACTTTAAGCATACATTTTTAACCATTAACTGACATTTTAAGGATAAGAACGAAAAGATGACAATTTACTGTTGAACCAATTTAAGATTGATAGTTACTCAGTTGCTGCTAATGAGCCCTATTTCTTGGTGTATATAACAAGGAAAATTAAATGCTCTGAAAAACCTGAGTTTTTTCATTCGTCCAGCGAATTGGATACTTTAAGATACAATACAAAGAGACAATAGGTCCTCAAGATCAACGAGAGTTCGCATGAAGCACTATCAAGGAATTTCTCACAAGGCAGTGTATAAAGGCTGGTAGATAAAATAATCATTATGAATTTTTTCTAGATTATATAATCGATTAAAGAGACCAAGAGCTCTTGGAATTCTTTAGAGAGGGCTCAGCGACCTCTAACAGCTTTTTGATAACGCTTCAAGCAGTCATAATTCTTAACCAAAAACACTTTTTTAATACGACTAATTGTCCATTGCTAAGATCGAAATGCATATATAACAATTTGCGACAGTAATGCACCATGTATTATCGTAATATATTAATTTCTAATTCTATACCAACTACAAAAGAGGTAGCTGCCTCTAGATTGAAAGTGGAAAGGCTGCCTGATTGTCGCATACAGAAATGGATGCAATAAATTGTGCAATAGAACTCACCAGCAACCATATCACAATGCCAGCATCTAGGGCAAGCAGCAACGAAAGACCAAACAACGGCCAATTGGATCCAACAGAGGCAAAGAACCTCTGGAAAGACGTATAGCTTCTATCTTCATTGCCGATGTAAGAAACACCGCGGCTTTTTATAAACTCTACAAACGTATTCGTTAAGGAGGTTTTAGCTCCGGTGTAAGTGGCAAACGGGGCCAGCAGTGTTACCATTTTCGCGGCTTCTAATGCCTCCAATGACGACGTATACGGTTTCAAATAATTTATGGTTGTACAGTTGGAATGGAAGCAGCAAGAATCCAATGCTTGTTTGAGCATTCCTAAAATTCAGAGAAGAGGATGAGTTTTAAAGACTACTTAGAATGCATATGTTTGAAATAGAGGAGATAAATATCAACAAAAGCGTCAAGGAAAAGGTAAGAATCCTCTTGAAAGCAAAGAATTCACTAGTTGTTGGTGCTATCCCTGCTTTGTTTCTTTAGAAAAAAAGCTTGTCACTGACAACCTCCATGATACAACCATTTCCGAATATCCTTAATTTTAGCCATATATGACATTTCAATGCTTGTATTGTTGGTTGATCAAACAGTCTTGAAGATCTGATTTCTCTATACACGTATTTCTCTGTACAAACACAAAACATTAGATACCTGGAATAAGCCCGGTGACTGTTCCTGTCTTCGGATCAGTAAAAATGTACGGCGGTGTTTCCGTAAATAGAATATCTATAGGCTGCTGACAAATGCAGTGTTTTTTGTGGACGTCTTCGCACGTCTTGTAATCCTGCAGAAAGTTCATTTCCTCGACTAGGTTTATCCGGATCATGCATTGCCGTGTGATGTTGCAAGGGGTTGTTTGTACAAAATGCAGAAGGATGGCGAAAATAATGCAGTCGACGACCATCATATCGCTTTGTATTTACATCACATCCATTCAGGTACACTGTGTTGGTACTCTACAAGAAATTTGAAAATCAAGCATGAATCATTCATTATTTATAAATCAAGAGCTAATCACTACAGTTGTGAAAAATAAGTCTTCCTGCACTCATCATTGAATCAGATGTGAACGCATCTCGAAGCCTATTCGCAGATAAAACTTTAAACAAAGACAGAATTTTCTAATTTCATTCTAAATAATTAGGTTTATGAAGAAAATAAAGCAAGACCTGCCTCGTCTCTCTCAAGATATTCTTTAGGCAAATATTGATTTTTTATTTGTAGTCTTTAAAACATCAGCATAATAAAACCGTTGGAATTCAATCATTGTAGATGCAAAATACAGACATATATGGGCTAAAATTTTCTGCGACGATTTCTTGCCTCTTGCTTATGACACAGCATAAATAAAGCTTTCTGGATCTCATATCTCTAGCACCTGCAGTTATCGCAAGTCAAACAAAGCGTGTTGTGAAATGAAATAATATGACATGAAATAAAAAACTATTACTTTCTATGGAACTCAATCCTCCTCAAGAATCAGCCATCATTAAGCAAAGGCTCTCCTAACATAAACATTCTTTTGAAATAGTTTTATCAAACGTCTTTAATTCTACCAAATCTAACATTGAATTGTTGCCAGGATACAAGTTCATTACCTGCAAAAGCAATCACGTCGGTAATGCAGAGAAAAGACGAGGCGAGTTGAACACGTTATTTTGTGCTACTGTCAACTCACTATTTTGATTCTTTTAAATACCTGATCCATTTTGGTTCGAAAATGGGCCAATTACTTAGACATAAGAGGACCAGCTTAACTAAAATCTTTTGAAAAATGCGTTTGTAAAACCTACAAATGTTTGCATTTGTTTGTTTATGGGGACATACCTCACTAATCCTTAGCACAACTACGAGAGAATCCTCTTTCTCAATCCCTCTGATATATAACTTTCTCTCTGATATCGAACTTTCAAGCCTATCATTACGTTAACCTGGTTTCTTTTTATAGGACATTATTTATTACAATTTTCAGTGAGTAATTAGTCTTTAAGACATGTGCAAAGTTAAATCTAAAAGAAGAGAAAGTCTAAAAAGGTTTCTAACTGCATCTTTGGCAAGGGCTTGGATAAAGTAGAGTTTCTGAAGTGTTAGTTCTGTTTGCAATAAAAGTTCTGCACAGAAACTTTACACTTATAAACATAGAAAACTGCATACGAACTCACTACTCACCCGCGCTTTGTTAATGCTGCAAGTACATCATCTTGGTGGACCAACCCATCCGTTAACTCTTCTTCGTAACTTTTAATTGATATATTTCAAAAGATTCTACAACCGAACAAAACATCAAATGAATCCTCTTAGTCATTCGTTTTACCAATTAACAATACTCCTCCAGTGACCCACTACTCATCGAAATTTTACAGGAATTCAATTTAACAATTCTTCATTTTTACCCGACTGACGAATTCAGCCACATGTCGCGATGAATGACTTCGTCATGAAAACAATACCTGAATGACTGAGTTGTTCTATAGATAGCATTTAGCTTTAATTTTGGTATAACCATAGGGTTTATTTATCTTACATAACCATCGAAAGCAATTCTCGATAAGAAGCTGCAGTTTCAATTCAATCACTGGGAATCCTCAGTTTTGAATCAAGTGCAGTGCCCAAGCAGTGAAAGAAGAGAGTTGTCAGGTTAGAAACCTGTAGATTCTGAATTTTGGGCTGGTATGCAACCTTTGCCAAAATGTTTACAATGTCTTTAATCTAATTACATTAAGGCAAACCTTGAATGAGACTTGCTACGAGGGTAACATATTTACCGTAAAAACTCTATTAAGCTCCGGAGGCTATTTTTTTCTGTCAGCCCTAGAGGAAGCTTAAAGGAGAGGAGAGTTCCTTTATTATTTAATGTCAAAATGTTAAAAAATGTCTCCCTTTTTTATTTTGTTATGAAAATTCTTTAAAACTCTGCTAGCAGTTTCGAAAGTTTCTTAAAACCATTTAATTATCATTCCTCATCTTCTTTACAAGGACCGCATTTAACAACGATGAATGTAAGTAAATTGTACCAGGAAAAAATTTATTAAATGAATGGAAGATTCTTTTTATTAATTCAATAAAAAAATGTTTCTTGGTACAATTTACTTACATTCATCGCTATTATATTATTATATTGCACCGTGAAGGAAATCAATTATGTCACGTGATTGGTGACATCCAATTCATCGCATTGAAGAAAAGAATTTAAAAGGAGAGAGAAGTCGACACGACTCGACGATGAACGCTTAACGCTCAGAATAAATTCGCTCATGGCATATGTTAGTTCAATGTAAATTTCACAACATTGAGGATTCTTTTCGCATGTAAATAAAATGGAGCAATCGCTGTATTTTTTTATCTTTAAATATATTTAATATAACAAGAACCAGGAACCTTGCTGGAGTTTCGCCTCTATTCGAGGGACGAAACGTTATCACAGCGCAGGATCATTCACTTGATCCCCCACATACCGCAAGCAATCTAGTATATTTGACCCGCTCAAGGCTCATATTTTCTTTGTTTGACATAAGGGGCTTAAGAGGGGGGCTTATTTTAAATTTTTGATTGGTAAGGAGGGGCTAGTAGAGAGAGGGCTTAAATGAGAGGGGGCTT